AAAGCGGGATCCTTTGGCCACTCGAATCTCCCAGAGTGAGCCTCCAGAACCAAGGCGGCCGAACAATCGCAGTGAAGGAGAGGGTCGAGTCGGTGGTCTCGCGCCGCGAAGACATTCTTACACGCTTTCCAGTTGTGGTTCATCATCTGGTTCGAAGCAACATCGCTCTTCCTGGGCAATGTGCAAGCCTGCCTCCAGTGAGCGCTGATGTACTTTCTTCGGGTCCAAGGAGTATCTCGCCCTTTCCTGCCGGAGGCTCTTCCAGTCCTGGAGTAGAGGCGTCGCGATCGATAGTCACCGCGGCCCTCGTGGCCTCTTGGACGGCTCCGCCCGTTAGTGGAGGGCTTTCGACGAATCCTTCAATTATCCCCGCAGCGTTTGACAACTCCCCGAGATTCTCCCCAGCAGGCGCGCCAGTCCTTCCTTCTCGTCGCTTCCGCCGCGAAACAGGATCTGGACCATAATGTCATCGAGAGCCTTCTCGCCTCCTTTCGCCAGCTCTCCCCAGCTGCCGGCGACGAACTTCTTGCCCTCCTGAGGAATGCGCCATAGGTTCCTGCCGGTCTTCGGGAATTCGCGGCAGTTCACGCTGGGGACGATGGCGGCGCTGCGGGGGCCCAGCTAGGCGGGTCGCGGAATGGCGCCCAGATAAAGTCTACTGTGTAAATCGGAAGGGCCCTGGATCTCGGTGTCCGTGCACACCTGGAAGTACGCGCAGAGAGGCTCGTAGTCACCACTCTCGTCTGCTGCCTTCAGATCGTTCGGCAGGGTCTCGAACTCATGCTCATTGCACGACTCGATCAGGCCCAGGGCGATTCCGAGTTGCATCTGCGTCAACAACTTCAGCCAGACATGACAAGTAGGCTGTCTCGGGTATTGATGCCACGCGGCCATCATCTCCGACAGGGGATCGTTGAAGGTCGCGTCGGGGTTCAGATCCTGAGCGTCCAGCTGAATGCGGCTCTTTAGTGTCAGGTGATAGATCACGTCGTCGGTGGACCAGCGCCCGTTCCTTTCGAACTCGAACGGCTCGTCCTTCATTGCCTCCGCTTGATTCGCCATGTCCTGCTTCATCTACAGGATCTTCTCCTTCTCCACCGTCGCGATGTAGAGCAGTGGCTGCCTACGTGCTGGTGGGGTCTGGTAGCTCGATGAGGCCGTCCACATTGATCCAGGCATCGTAGTTGTCTCCGGCAGGGAATCCCAAGCCTTGATCACCCTGATACACCACCTCACCACGAGAACGATGCTGCGGCTCCTTCACCTCGGGATGTCCCAAGAGGAGCATCCCGTATTTCTTGCGAGGTGGGATCGTGGTCTTGTCGCTAAGAATCTCCACCAGGTTGTCCGGAGGGATACACAAGTCAGATTCTTCTTCAAACTACCGGCTTGCCGCGTACTTGGTAGCGAAGTCGACGTCCTGGTTCCGCGTGTGGGCAACATCCAAATCCCTCCGATCGGTGTGCCCTCCTGGGGAGGCAACCGTATTCGAGCACTTCACATTGGAGCTTCGACGATGGACCAGGACGTTGATGTTGTCGTGATCGTCGGGGAACAGGACGTAGCCACCGACGGTCCCGACGTGCCTCGGCTTTGGGAGGAGTGGCTTGTTCTCCTCGGCTGTCTCCTTGGCAGTCTCCTCGGCTGTCTCCTGGGCCGCGTCGTCAGCGAGGTGCGCGTTGACGCGAGGATGCCGATGGCGCTGTGCTCCAGTCGCAGGTTTTTTGGTTTCCCCCGCCGTTGGAACTTCACCCTCTGGCGCCTCTGGGAGCGGCTCGGGCTCTTCTTTTTAAAATCGGCCAGAGCCTTGGCAATGAGCTTCCTCTCCACGCAGCCAGCGCAAGGCGTCTCGTACTGCTGCAGGAAGTTGCCGCCAGAAATGTCGTCGCCTGATGCCGCGCCAGGTTGTCCACCACGGATTTCTTCCCCCTGCAGGGTATCTTCCTCGCTTTCGTCGTCGCCCTCGTTCGAATCCTCGTCCTCGACCTCCTCGGCCTGCTCGGTCTGACGCTTGGTCTTCTTGTTTTGGCGGCACCTTCGATGCTCATTCCTTCTTGCTTGGATAGCCTCCTCGGTCATAGGCCGAGTCTGCTTAGACCAGGGCGCACGGCCTAGGTTCTTCTTGGTCGGTTCTCGAACTCCTTTCGGTGTGCCCCCTGTTTCCTCCAGGTCTGCCATCATGCTGAAGTGGTTCCGTTCCTCTTGCCGTTCAAGGCGCACCTCATCCTGTGGAGTTGATTCCGCACCGGCTTCCTGAAATAGCGGTTCCAATCAGCCCAGGTACGAAAATTGAAAGAGGACTGCGCGAGCTGGTTCATTCTGGCACGCTGGATGCGTTGCATCTCTGGGCGCACCGTGAACTTGAAGAGGAAAGCCGGCAATCCCTCAGTGTAGTCTGCCGGGTCTGCAGCCTCTTGGTCGAACACCTTCGCACCCTTGTTCTCCAACCCCTCTAGTTGACGGTTGGGCGTAGAAGAGTCCGTTTTCCGCCTCGCCGCGCTGCTTGATCAAGGCCATCTTGGTCTGCTCTAGGTCGAGGTACCGTTGCAGCTTGAATCGCTGGATTTCAACTCGAAGCTTCTCTCCGGCCTCCTGCAGCTGGATGATCCTCTGCCGACGGCACAATGAACCACCTTCAGCGTGATGCATCCTGTTGGGCTCCTGGTCCAAACGACGCACTTCCAGCTCGAGGTTCTGAGTCGTGGCCATGAGGAGTGCAATGTGCTCTTCGAGGTGATGGATATTTGGTACCGAATCGGATGGCATCCACTCCCTCGGGACCCCTTCAGGGAGCTCGAGCCGGTTGACATGCTCATCGAGGGTCTTGCTGTAGTCGTCCCCCCCTGGCGGCGCCTCCGGCGCCGCCAGGGGCGCAGGGGGGGCCCAGCGCGGATCCAAGCAATCCGCGCGGAGCCCCAAAAAGTTTACGTTTATGTTGTTTTTTCTTCGTCGACTTCTGAGGGGGCGATGCTTACTTCCGCCGCCTTCTTCCGGCCTTCCGCCGGCCGAGCCGCCGCCGTTTTACTTCCGCCCCTTCCGCCGAGGGAGAGATGGCAACTCCTTCGATCCTCGAAGGCAAGGCCCTCTTTGGAACGCCTCAACACCTGACGCCCGCGGACTCACAAGAACTGATCCCTGGGCGCTGGCTTGGCTCGGCAGTGGTCTCCGGAGGCCCTAGCTCCGAAGTCTCCGAGGAGGCCTCCGCGCGAAGCCTCCGCAGGACCCCCGGCCGCCGAGAGATCCGCGTCGCGGCGGCGCCTGCCGCGCGGGAGGCGCGGAGGGCGCGGCTCGAGGGCCCCGCGCGGGCCCCTCCCTCGAGGAAACGCACGCAATGGATCGGCGACGCGTGGATCAGCGGCGGGCCCCGCCTCCGTGTGGAATCGGCGCGCCCCGTCGCCACAACGGGCGGCGCCGGCCGCACGCTTCGGGCGTGCCTCTCTCCCGATCTCCGCGGAGCTGGCGCCCTCGCGCCGCAGCGCCACGGGAATCCAGGTCCTCCTCCTCCTCCAACTCCTCCTCCTCCTCCTGCTCCTCCTCCTTCTCCTCCTCCGCTTCTTCCTCCTCTTCTCCTTCTCCTCCTCCCTCTCCCCCTCCTCCTCCCCCTCCTCCTCCTCCTCCTCCAACTCCTCCTCCCTCCTCCTCCTCCTCCTCCTCCTCCTCCTCCTCCTCCTCCCTCCTCCAACTCCTCCAACTCCTCCTCCTCCTCCCTCCTCCTCCTCCTCCTCCTCCTCCTCCTCCAACTCCCCTTCCTCCTACTCCTCCTCCTCCTCCTCCTCCTCCTCCTCCTCCTCCTCCTGCTTCTCCTCCTCCTCCTCCTCCTCCTCCTCCTGGCCCGAGGCGTGTCTGCCGATGGGGCCGTCGTCGTCGCCATCGCCGTCGCCTTCGCCGTCGCCGTCGCCGTCGTCGTCGCCATCGCCATCGCCGTCGTCGTCGTCGTCGTCGTCGTCGTCGTCGTCGTCGTCGTCGTCGTCGTCGTCGTCGTCGTCGTCGTCGTCGGGGGGGCCGCGGCGGGCCCGGAGCCCGCGAGCGGAGCCCGCCAGCACACGCAATGTCATATGCACACACTTTTGGCGCCGCGGCCCTGCGCGCAGCGGCACGGCGCAGAAGGTCGGAAAACAGCAAATCGCGCGCCCGCGTCTACTCCAAACCCCCTCGCCCTGTGAAAGAATCACGGCGGGAGGTTTTCGCTATGTTCGGCCTCCTGGGGCCCTCACCGGGCCTCGGGACCGTCAAAAAACGACTCGGGATCAACCAGTCCCTGGGAAGGTGTTGCGAAAAAATCACGAAGTCGGGGGGTCTGGGAGTCCCGCCACACATATACTTGGCGGCGCGAACAAGGAGGTAGCGGGGAGGGGGGAAAAACTTCTCAGAAGAAGGCCGCTTCTTAGAAGGCGCGGGCCTTGCATCTACAGACAAGGCCTGCGCCTTCCAAGAAGCAGGGGTACTCCTGAGAAGCCTCCCCCCTGCCCCTACCCCCCCTTGTGAGCTTGGCTGACACTAGATAATTCACACACATACACCTCTTGGATGCCACAGAACGTAAAGGAAGAAAAAACGACATGAACATACACTTCTGGCGGTCCGCGCGGATTCCCTGGATCAGCGCAGAACAGCCTCCCTGGCGCGCGAAGCGCGCCATGGGCGGCGTCGGAGGCGCCGCCTGGGGGTTCCAACGCAAATCGGAAAAATCCGCGCGGAGCTCCGACGGTTTATGTTTATGCCGCTTTCCCTTCTTCGAGCGGAGAACCATAAAAAAGCCCGGGTGGACCCAAGAAAATCGACACCAAATACAACCGATTCACATGTTGGATATATGTCCTGGATTTGCCTCTTCGCTTCTACTTCCCATATTTTCCCATCTGTTCACGAAAATCAGCGTCTTCTGTTGTATGTGCCGATCTGCGACCTCAGTCCACCCGCCCAGACCACAAAACACGAAGTGCCACATCAAGATCCACGAGAATCTCTCTCCCCTCCCCCCCCCCGGCTGCGGGGCGCGCCTCGGCAGCCGCCGCCAGCTTGGGGTCCTGCTGACTCTGGGGAAAGGGAAGCGCACCACCACCACCAGGAGGGTGCACGGTTTCCTCCGGGGTTATAGGTGACCCGAGGAGGAGGAGGAACGAACGAACGAACGACCACCAATGCGGACAGCAGTCCGGGCCTGCTGGAGACCAGGTGAGTGAGGCAGTGGCCTCTGAAAAGATATTGTGTATGTTGTATGGTGAGGCGCGCATGCGAGACATGTAAAAAGTTACGTGAAACGGAAGGGGGGGAGGAGGGGGAGGAATCCTTGTAGTCGATGTCGTGGTGTTTTGGTGCCACGTCGCTAGGTAGAATCTGTGTTGGTAGTCTGTGCTGGGTTTGGTGTTGGTGTTGGCGCAAGGCGCCGGTAGTCGGTGTTGTAGTGCTTGCTTGTTGGTGGTCGGTGCTTGTGGTCGCGTGGTCGGCCGTCAGTGCTGCATGGCTAGAATCATGCAGCGACAAAGGCTCTCTCGAGTGAGTTCCACCATGCCGTCCGTGTCGCAGCTGTGAGCCACCTTACATCGTTGGTGTCGCGGTGGAGGTATCGTCGTGGTTGGGTGGTGTCGTCGTTGGCGTCGCGTTGTGTGTCGTCGTCGCCTGTCAGTCGATGCACATGGTGAGGAACTTTCGCAAATCGTCATCCCATCGCTTGTGCTGGCCACCGTGCTGTCGATAACCATGTTGTTCTGTGTCCCTATTGGGATTCCATTTCAGAGCTCGCTGAGTCCACCTGTTTGGTGGGTGGGTCGCTACGCGTGCCGCCCACTGCCAAACCATGTCGCGATGCATTTGAGTGACGTCTGGGATGTCGTGCATGCTCATGAGTTCCTCCGCTGACGGTGCCACGGTACAGTCAAAGTCCGTGTTTGAGTGGGTAGTGCTTGCTCGTTAGTTCCTGTCTGTGCCCTGTGAAGCACGCCCATGCCGCTTGGATGCGATGCTGGATTTCGGTCGCCGATGCGTCTTGAAAAGGTATGGTCTGGCCGAGATAGTTCAGCGTTCCGGGAGGTGGTAGTACTTCGATGTCCATGGTTGCAACTCTCGCCGAACGCGTCCGGGTCCTGGTCCGGTTTGTCATGATCTTTGTTTTGGTCGGGTGTATTTCAAGGCCGTGAGGAGCTGCTGCCTTGATTAAGTCCCCAAGCAATGTGTTCAAATTGGGTAGTGTCTGACTGACCAGGAGGATGTCGTCGGTGAAGCGGAGGTTGGTAAGAACAGATTCGTCGGTGTGCGCTAACTGTATTCCTCGTCGTCGTCGCTGCCAGTCCAGAATGAAAGGTTCCAGGGCGTGCTGCAGTAGAGCGTTAAAGAGCAGTGAGCTCAAAGGATCTCCTTGTTTTGTGCCTCGTCTGAGCTTGAAAGGTTTGCTGGTGGAGTCGGTGCGGACAAAGGCCTTCTGGTCGCGGTCGAGTGGCCGGAGCAGGTGGACGTACTCGGGTTGCACGCCTTGTCGTCGTAGTGCTGTCCATAGGCTGCTGTGCTCTACTGTGTCGAACGCTTTCTTAAAGTCTACGGCAGCAATCCACAGGGTCTGGTTCCATTCGGAAGCTCGCTCTCGCAGGATGTTGAAAATCAAGAGGTGGTCACGCGTGCCGCGTCCAGGTCTGAATCCCGCTTGGTCGTCGGGCTGGCGTTGTTCAGGGACTGGCTGTAATCTGTTGTAGAGCAGACTACTGCACAGTTTGTATAGCGTGGGTATGGCACAGATCGGGCGGTAATTCTGTGGAAGAGATAAGTCGCCCGATTTGGGGATGACTGTGATCACTGTTGTCCTCCAACTTGCTGGTGTGGGGGCGTTCGGATTGAGGGCGGTGTTGTATAGCTGCACCAAGGAATTTTGAAGTTCCAGGCATGGTTTCTTGAGCATTTCTGCTGTGATCTCTTCGGTGTCCGGTGACTGCCCCAACTAGAGTTGCGAGATTGCTGTGTCGAGCTCTTGCGCCGTAAAGGGTGTGATGTGCTGATGGGCGTCGGTCGTGCTTGGTGCTGCATCGACGATGTCGGTGGAATTGTACAGCTCCTCTAGAACGTCGCGAATACATCAGCAATGCCATGACGAGTCGTGTGTTTGGTGCCGTCGTTATCAACCATTTCCGTGATGAGCGTTCGTCTCCTTCTCGTCTTGATGGAACTGATGCGCTTGAGGTCCCTGTGTTGTTCGAGGATGGTGCTGATTCGCTGTCGTCGTTTGGTGCGTTTCTGTTGTCGAATGTGTCTCTGTATTGCTTTGCTGATCGTCCGCCGGCTGTGCATTTGGGATACGTCTGCGCTGCTCCACAAGTTTGGTGATGATGTCGTCGAGGTTGGTGGTGTCGTCGTAATTATTTGTATTGTTTGTCGTACTGGTTTGTGCTTCCCTGGGGGATGTGCTGTGCAGCGTGGCGTCCTTCGAGCTCTTCTCGATTGTTTTGTTTAGATCTTCCGGGTCAGCTGGTAGTACTTTGGGTTGCAATTTGGAGCCCAGATGACGTCGATCCTCGTTGGGGCCGGTCAGTCGTTGTCCTTGATTGGTGGCATGTCTGACCGGTCGCTGTTGTCTGTGTGTGCCGGAAGCCAACAATTTGAGGCGCATACCGCCTTGTGGTGGAGTTAAGGTCAATGGCGTTGCTGGCTTCGGCGTTCCGGCATGAAGGTAGCAAGCACCTGTCCACTAGTATGTAGTCGTACTGCCGAGGTTCGCCGCCTGTCGTTGTGTAGGTGATCAGTTTGTCTGGGCGTTTGCGGAAAAACGTGTTCATGATTGCAAGCCTCTCGTCCGTAGCCCAATGTCGTAACCATTGGCCTCGGGAGTTTTCGTCGCCGAACCCGTGGGGCCCCACGTAGTGAGAACAGATGTCGGATCGGGGTTGCGCAAAGTCAGCGTCGTCATTCGGACGTCCATTCGGGGAGCGTGGTTGGGAACCAGCTTGGGCGTTGAAGTCGGCACCCATGATTGTGCGCATGCGTGGGGAACGTGCTTCACGGAGTAGAGCGCTGGCGGTGTCGTACAACTGCTGGATGTGATGGTCCGTATACCCAGTGTGCGGAAAGTATGCCGATATGAATTGTAGTCGAAACTTCCACTTCCTGATGTTGAGCGCCGCGATTCTCGCATTGTTGGCCTGGAGCTCTGACACGTGTTTGGTCCAACGCTTGTGCAAAAGGATTGCGACTCCGTGGGGACGACTCTCGTTGCCAGAACCCGCAAACGTGTGTCCATCTGTAGTGATTCATAACTCACGTGCTATCGTCCGCCACGTTTCGTTGATCAGAACTGCGTCCCTTGACTGTGAAATCGATGATGCCAGACTCGTCGCAACTTGCTTCTTGATGCGTCGGATCGGGTTGGATCGAAGGGAAAAGAGAGGGGACGGGGGAGGGGAGGGGAGGATGGAGGGTGGGGAGGGGAGGAAGAGAGTTGGTCGACGCTGTTGGTCTGTGGTCGGTGGTGAGTGGTGATGGGCACTGTGAGTCTGTTGAGGTCGGCGCTGCTTGTGGTGGTTCTGGTCGGTGGTGGTCAACTGTGTGTGGTGGTGCGTGCTGCTGGTCGATTGGGGTCGGTGCTGCTTGTGTTGTCGCTGTCCCGTGGTGGTCGGTGTTAGGGGTTGGCGCCTGTTGTCTGTCGGTCGAAGTCGGTGCTGCTTGCCGTGATGCTGGTCGGTGCTGGTCGGTATTGGGTGTTGGTGGGCGCTGCTGGTCGGCTAGAGTATGTGCTGCTTGCGGTGGTGTTGCTGGTCGGTGGTGGTCGTCGGTGGGCGCTGGTGGGTGGCGTTAGCTGTGGTGCTGGTCCGTGGTTGGCGGGTGATGATGCGCGCTGCTGGTCGGCTGGAGTCTGCGCTGCTCGTGGTGGTGTTGCTGGTCGGTTGTGGTCGGTGGTAGGTGTCGGTGATTGCTGCTGGTCGGTTGGGGTCGGCGCTGCTTGCTGTGATGCTGGTCGGTGCTGGTCGGCTGGTGGTGGTGGGCGGTGCTGGTCGGTTGGGGTCTGTGCTGCTTGTGGTGGTATTGCTGGTTGTCGTTGGTTAGTGGTGGGTGGCAGTTGGCGCTGCTTGTCGGTTGGGGTTGCTACTAGTCGTGATGCTGGTTTGTGTTGGTCGGTGGGTGGTGGTGGGCACTGGTGGTCCGCTGGAGTCTGGTGCTTGCGGTGGCGTTGCTGGTTGGTCGTCGGCGGTGGGCGCTGGTGGGTGTTGCTGGTAGCTTTCGGTCGGCGCTGCTTGCTGTGATGCTGGTCGGTGGTCGGTTGGTGGTGGCGGGCGCTGCTGGTCGGCTGGAGTCAGTCTTGCTTGCGGCGGTGTTGCTTGTTGTCGCTGGTCGGTGGTGGGTGGCGGTGGCTTGCTGGTTGGTTGGGGTCAGTGCTGCTTGCTGTGATGCTGGTCGGTGTTGGTCGGTGGGCGGTGGTGGACAATGCTGGTCGGCTGGAGTCTGTGCTGCTTGCGGTGGTGTTGCTTGTTGTCGCTGGTCGGTGGTGGGTGGCGGTGGGAGCTGCTGTTCGGTTTGGGTCGGTGCTGCTTGCTGTGATGCTGGTCGGTGGTCTGTTGGTGGTAGTGGGCGCTGTTGGTCGGTCAGAGTCCGTGTTGCTTGTGCTGGTGTTGCTGGTGCTCGCTGGTCGGTGGTGGGTGGTGGTGGGCGCTGCTGGTCGGTTGGGGTCGGCGTTGTTTGCTGTGGTGCTAGTCGGTGCTGGTCGGTTGGTGGTGCTGGGCGCTGCTGGTCGGCTGGAGTCTGCGCGGCTGGTGCTGGAGGTGGCATTGCTGTCAGGATGCTGAGTGGCACGTCACCGTCGGCATGTGCAAACATAGTTCTGCCACCTCCTGTGCTGCTCGTCCGCGCTCGGGTTGTAGATGGTCGCGACGTTGGTGTCGAAGCTGCTGGTCCTGAGGGCTGAGTTCCTGATGATTTGGGGAGGGAGGAAGAATCACCGAATTCGTCTCGCTCTGAATTCTGGAAGAGGAGGAGGAGGAGGAGGAGGAGGAGGAGGAGGAGGACGACGACGAGGAGGAGCAGGAGGTGGAGGTGGAGGAGGGGGAGGAGGAGATGGAGGAGGAGGAGGGAGAATGATGAGGGGGAGGAGGAGTAACTGGAGGAAGAGGAGGAGGAGGACGAGGAGGAGTAGGGGGAGGAGGAGGTGGAAGAGGACTGGACTGGACTGGAACGCTTACGACCCTGGTGAGTTCCACTGTCGTGCGACACTTGACACACGAGCACAAGGTATGTATAAGGATCTGCGGATAGCACGGGGCTATAGCCTGCAGCCTCGCTGGGGGGAAGCCACTGGCCCAAAGCAGGACCGTCCGAAGGGGAACGGCAGGAGGAAGAGGAGGAGGAGGAGGAGGAGGAGGAGGAGGAGGAGGAGGAGGATGAGGACGGGTCGCCTAAGTCCTTCGGAGAAACCCTCCACCATAAGGAGGGCGGGTGCAGCGGGGAGAGCCCAGACTCGAATCGAGAGGTCGGATCGGCGATCGACGCGAATCGAATCGGCGGAGATCGGCAACCGAGCCGGGTGTATTCGAAATTCCGTTGGGAAACCGACATCCAAGTCGGAACCCGAAATCGCATCGAATCGGAGTCGGAGTCGGGCGAGATCGAATCGAAATCGAAGCGAAACGAGGAGGTGCGCTCCTGCAGCGCCTGCCGCTCCCCAAGCTGCTCCTCCCTGGCCGCCGCGGGCGCCGTGCGCGGTCGCAGCCCCGCCGCGCATCCATCTGGGCGCGACCGCGGCGGCCGCGGCCGACGCCGACGACGACGCCGACAACGACAACGACGACGACGACGCCGCCGACGACGATGACGACGACGACGGCAACGGTGTTGGCGGCGATGGCGGTGGTAGCGGCGGCGACGGCGGCGGCGACGGCGGGGGAGGCGGCGGCGGCAGCCTCTTCCTCCTCCTGCTCCTGCTGCTCCTCCCTCCTGCTCCTCCCCTCCTCACCCTCCTCGTCCTCCTCCTCCAAGCCTATCCCTCATCCCTCCTCCTCTTCCTCCTCTTCCTCCTCCTCCTCCTCCTCCCACCCCTCCGCCTCTCCCACCCGCCCGCTCACCCACCCACCTCCTCCTTCTCCTTCCTGTTTCTCTCCATCGTTTTTCCTTAGAGGCATCTCTCCACGCGCCACCACTCGTGTCGTTAGGGCGGTCAGGGCGTTTCACCTGAAACCCACTCACCGCTTGTGGTATGGAAGCTGAACAGCTCCAACAGTCGCACGGATCGAGGGCGGGTCGTCTTCAAAATGGGGCTATCGCCATGGAGCTGCGAAACCCCGTCTGAAGCATCCACGCTTTGAACATGCAAGTCTCGCCGCGCCGCGCACGCTCGTCTTCACTACCTTCAGCAGCTGCACGGATTGAACAACTGTTCCTTTTCAAACTGGGGCTCTCGCCTAAGAGCTCATCCGTGTGTAAAGTGTTCGCAACAATGCAGCGGATGGCGGGCGGTGTCCAGTCAAAAGAAAGCTCTCGCTTGAGACGTCCTGAACGTGTACGACCAGACGCCCGTCATTGCACAGCAGCTACACTGATGTAGGGCGGAGCCTTTCAACAACGGTGGTCTCACATGAGAGCTCCTCGAGTGCACCAAACGCTCAAACTTGTGCAACGGTGGCACTGATAGAGGGTGAATTATTCAAAATTCTGGGCTCTCGCTCGAGACGCCATCTGGCTCTATGACGTTTGACAGTGTAAATTTGTGATACGGATGGAGGCGACTCTTTTTCTTGACGCGGAGGTCCCGTTAGACACCAACTTGAACTTCATGACCCCACCGAATCGGATTTCCTGCAGCTCGAAGGTCGGAACACAACTCCTTTTCAAGGCGGGGCTCCCGCCTGAACTGCGGTCCCGTGGGGCGGTTGCCTATCAACGGAGCTCTCCCCGCAATGACGAGAACCGGCTTGGGACGAGAGGGCGCATGGTAGCATTATTGGTCGTTGATGCGCCTTGTGCTTGGGTTTGCTCACGTCCTCCTCCTCCTCCTCCTCCTCCTCCTCCTCCTTCTCCCCCTCCTCCTCATCATCCCTCCTCCTCCTCATCATCCTTCCTCCTCCTCCTCCTCCTCCTGGTCCCTCCTCATCCCTCCTCGTCCCTCCTCATCCCTCCTCGTCCCTCCCCCTCCTCCTCTCCTTCCTCCTCCTCCTCCTCCTCCTCCTCTCTCCTCCTCCTTCCTCCTCCTCTTCCTCCTCCTTCCTCCTCACGCTTCCTCTCCTCTCCTCTCCCCCTCCTCCTCCTCCTCCTCCTCCTCCTCCTCCTCCTCCTCCTCCGCTCCTCCTCCCTCCCTCCTCCTCCTCCCTCCTCCTCCTCTCCTCCCTCCTCCCCTCCTCCTCCTCCTCCCCTCCTCTCTCCTCCTCCTCCTCCTCCTTCCTCCTCCTCTCCTCCTCCCCTCCTCCTCCTCCTCCTCTCCTCCTCCTCCTCCTCCTCTCTCCTCCTCCTCCTCCTCCTCCTCCTCCTCCTCCTCCTCCTCCTCCTCCTCCTCCTCCTCCTCCTCCTCCTCCTCCCCTCCTCCTCCTCCTCCTCCTCCTCCTCCTCTCCTCCCTCCTCCTCCTCCTCCTCCTCCTCCTCTCCTCCTCCTCCTCCTCCTCCTCCCTCCTCCTCCTCCTCCTCCTCCTCCTCCTCCTCCTCCTCCTCCTCCTCCTCCTCTCCTCCTCCCTCCTCCCTCCTACTCCTCTCCTCCTCCTCCTCCTCCTCCTCCTCCCTCCTCCCTCCCTGTCTCCTCCCCCCTACTTCTCACTCTTCCTCGACACCCTCCCTCATTCCGTCCTCCCTGTCCCTCCGTCCCCTGCCCGACGGTCGCACAGAATCTGAGAGCATTATGCAACATGCTTCGCGTATTGAGCAAACACCTCATCCCTCCTCCTCCTCCGCCGCCTCCTCCGCCTCCTCCTCCTCCTTCTCCTCCTCCTCCTCCTCCTCCTCCTCCCTCCTCCTCGTGCTCCTGCTCCTGCTCCTGCTCTTCCTCCTCCTCCTCCTCTTCCTCCTCCTCCTAGCATCCTTGCCGACTGCAGCCTTGCCGACTGCAGACGCGCCATACCACTCATCTTGGGGCAGGACGATGCCCAATATTTCGGCAAGAATGCGCAGAGTGACCGTACGGAGTGGATCCGACTTGCGCAAGATTGTCTTGCTGACACACTCTCGCCCTTTGTATGGGTGAGCGATGAGTGGAGCCCGAAGGTCATAGACACTGAGCGGAGAGAAGAGAAGTCTGACTTCGATGAAGGCATTCGCAGGTTGATTTCACGTACGCCACAATTCCAATGCCATCCGTATACCAACATTCCATTTGGGCTCAACCAAGATTTGGTTCAAGCCGCTCCTGGGCTGGGCGGCGTCGCGAACGTTGGCGCAACAAGCCTCACGATTACCTCCTGGTCGAGTCAGAGGTTAACCACTCCTACGACAATTTCGCCGTCACAGTTGATTTCACGAGCGTGCTCTCCTCCAGTTGAGCCCTCGACTTCACGGACATCAGGCGCGAGCTTCGCTGCTCCAGAGATTGTGGAGACCACCCTGGGCTCGCAGCACCCCGCAGGACCAGTGTTCGGAAGAGCGGCAGTGGCGCCACGCTCACCGTGGTGCTGGACCCCACGGGGCAGACTCCCCTAGGGGGGAATCACAGGAGGTGCGGCAGAACCACGCCACAAGTACTCCGATTGCCACGTCGACGCCACCCGCAGCGGTTCGTATGATTGGATGGGGATTGGATGACGGTGAGTGGGACCCCTTTCTTGATCTCGACCAGGGAGACCCCACACACATCCACCCACCTCGCGGCAATACGACGGAGGCAGCTACGGAGACTATCAGTCGAGCTGACGGCCCAGGGACCGAAGCTGACGTGCAAGAAGCTCAAGGGCATCACCGTTGCATGCCACTCCTCAGGTTCCAGCCGTTCACGGCTATGCTTGTGCGGAGAGCCCAGGCCAGGGCCCTTAGCAAGAGTAAGACACAATTCACCAGATGGGTGAAAGCACGTTGGAAAGACAGTCCTGGTGCTCTACATCGACACGTGAAGGACCCCACCCAGGAGGTCCTTGAGCTGCAGGGCACAGGCGACCCAGACACGATCATGACCGCCAGGGCTGACTTCTGGCGAGAGATATGGAAAGACCCAGTAGACACCGTCGAATACATTCAGGCCGCCCTCTCTAGGGCGCGGCGCCAGGCTCAAGCACCGGACCTTCCCCCCATTACCACGGGGGAGTTTGACGGAGCCATCGCCCGTCTGTCAGCCAAGAAGGCCACGGGCATCGACAACTTCACGGTGGACGACGTGGCCAGGCTCCCTCGAGCGGGTAGGCAGGCTTGCCTGCAACTGCTCAATCGCTGCGAAGAAGAGGGGTTTCGTCCAGAGCAGATACATGCCACTCTAGGGGCCGTTGCACCCAAGCCCCAGGGAGGTGACAGGATGCTTGGCCTTCTTCCTACCCTTGGCAAGATATGGTCTCAGGCCCGTGCCTCGCCAGCAAACAGGTGGTCCTCGGGCTTGGAGGCACACTGGGACACAGCATTGGCTGGTTCCTCAGCCCTCAGAGCCGCGATGATCAGGCTACTCATGGACGAGGCGGCGATCGCCAACGGCAAGCACGTAGCCTGTTCGCTGCTGTATCTTACTAAGTTCTACGACAGCGTGTCCCTGGTGCTTCTCTTGCGGTTCGCGGAGACCACGGACTACCCTATGATTGTTGCGCTGATGGAGGCGCGGATGTGCTTGGCCCCTCGTTACCTCAGGGCAACATCATGGATTAGCCCTCGTATCATGGTCACGAGGTCCCTTGTCGCTGGCAGTCCGAGAGGCGTCAATTTGGCCAATCCGTTCATCCACCCGACTTTGGAGCATGCACGCAAGATGAGGCCCATCCCAGTGCTCCGCACCTACGTCGACGACACAGCAGCCAGAGTGGAGGACAACTCAGAGCAGGTAGTATGCCATGAAACAATTCAGATTGGCCTCGAGCTAGCTCAGCAATTTCGGAAGTACCGCTTGGTATTATCCGATAAGTCGGTGGCCATTGCATCAAGCGGGACATTGGGGAAGCGCATTGCCAGGGTGCTGTCGGGCCATGGTCTCCCCATTTCGTACGCTAGTCAGGCCACCGACCTTGGCCTCGACACGACAGCAGGCAAGCGCAGATCGGCCAAGAAGACGACCACCCGCAGGGACAAGGCACGACAACGGTTTGGGCGCATTCTACGATTACGACAGCTGGGCGCAAAAGTACACTCGGAGGCACCAAGGCTGTGGTCCACTGGTGCTCTACCACAGGCGGCGTACGGACATCAGGCGGCAGGAGTACCGCCATCCATGATCATGGCCCTCAGACGGCAGGCCAGCAGCGCCATTGCTGGGACCAAGAAGGGACGATGCCTCACCTCGACGTTGGCATGTACTCTCCAGGATCGGGACCCAGCTATCCAGATTCCAGTCAGTTTGATCATAACGTGGTTTGATATCTGGTTTTGCCACCCCGAACTTCACCCAGCTATTCGTCTTGCTTGGCCTGTCATCAAAGATAAAATTATACACAGCCAGAAAGTCTCCTGGAACCGTGTGAGGGGGCCGAGTGATGCAGTCATTGCTACCCTCCACCAGACGAAGTGGACACCGCACTCCCCAGCGGCCTGGGAGAGACCCACAGACATTGGATCGGATACATGGACCTTCCCACAGTACGGCTCAGAGGATTTCAAAGCGGCCGACGCCATGGAGTTAGTG